AATGTCATTATATTGAGGTATCTAATTCTATGGTCTAAGTGTTTCCGCAGCTCCCCTCCCAATGATAGCCTATACTAGATCAATTTAGAAAGTATCAAATTTTGGATGGAAGGATTTGAGGCCACCACCCATTATCCTGACGGCAGATAGCGGTGAACGAACGTCATTGGGGGATGAGCATTTGCCGGATAACGGGTATAGTGCCCAATGGGTGGCAGTTCTGTACTCGGGAAAATAATAACAAGAATAGAGTTTGCTATTGTGAACCCGCAATACGGGAAAACTCAGTATTAGAGCTGTAACAATCTGTACCAAACTTGCCTTTTCAGCCCTCTTTTCGTAACCTGGAAGAAAGGTAGCCATCGGCGACTTCGAGGCTGCATAGGAACATTTTCACAATTACAGTGAGTGTAATTATCTTAACGGTTTTTGATTTCGCTTTCATCATTATTTTGAGACTCAAAAATCTCACTTGAAACTGTATGTGTAATCGTTTTATCCCTTGCACCAATCTTTCCAGCTTACACACGGGTCTCCGAGACTATGCTATTACTAGTGCATTTCATGATTCGCGTTTTGATCCGGTACGAAAGGAGGAAATCCCTCACCTATACTGTGGTGTGAGTCATCCATTTGGTCCTCCCCCTTTTTTGATCATTCAATTTTATTGATGATTCGATTACTTGATGTACGTCTAGGTTTCTTTACTAATCAAATTCGAATCTGCTCATGACTATATGGATTGGACAATTGGTATTCACGGAATTCGTATTCATTTTATGGACGGTAGTGTACGCAGAGATGCTGTGTATCTGCCGGAAGTCGCTTATGAACAAGGTACCATTTAAGATGCTTCTGAGCACTTCAAATGTTGTTTCGCTTTAGGCTGGGACCATTTGGAAACAATCAATAATCTCATTGAAAAAGGCGGCTACAGAGGACGCATCGATGAAGGCTTTCGACTATCCCTCCAAGTAACACGTTTCCAGTCCAGTAAAGTGATGATCTCCTATGACGTACGTCGCCACTCAACTTTCGTTTCGGCGTTATACAGTAATATCAGCGCTGTTTTAGGACTACATGCGGTATAAACGCGCTCTAAAATAATGAGTGATCTCGCCTTATCACTGAACTGCCTCAGAAGAACACTGACCGAAATAACCATTCTTTGTTGTATCTATTGTATATGTTGTATAAATGGGATGTGGCATAGTTTTTTTTTTTGATAGTTGGACTTATATTTTCATTGTTCCAATGAGAACCTTGAAGCAATGTTGAACGGCATATGCTATTCTGCATTGTTTTCTTCCTTCTTCAAAATAAATTCTGCGAACTTCTTGTTTTGATTAGTC